GAAGTCCATACTATAATCTGTATTTGCACCAGTCCCATGTGAAAATGAAATCTATCTGAATTTGTAGAGCACATCTCATGAATGTAGCAGCACCATTTAAATCTTTTCATAACACAAAATATAAGTGAAGAGTATATAGGGTTACAATCAGACGTGCCAAATAAGAAACATGGTCTTCAACATGTGTCCATGTTTATTTTATATTTTATTGTGTCAGCTTGAAACCATCCAACCATGTAGTGTAATGGAACAGGAATGTGCATGGAGAATCAAATCCCAAACAATCCAGGAACCAATGCGTGACACGTCTTGACTGCACTTCAATTTCCTGACCACTAGATGTCCTACTCGAGCACTGTGTCATTGAAGCCTCGAGTAATGAACCATTTGTGTGAATACTGTGTCGAAGCTTCAACAAAGCTTCATCGGCCATCACTAGCTCCAGGAATACATTAGACTATGGCCACCAGTGTGTCTAGCTTCACGTTTCTGACTACGGAGGTTGCCAATTACCAGAGTTGTTTTCTCAGCAGGTGTATTGCTGAGTGGGGAAAATCGGTCTGAAACATTATAAGGCAGGTGATGCACTGTGGGCATTCGTTTTGAGCTATGACTCTTGCGAATTGTCACCCAGCCACCTGGCTGATATCCGGGCTGCTCGGGAAGCGACTAGCTTGGGCTAAGCTACATCTAGGAGGCTCCGCATTTCCAGATCAGTGAGCCTCGCCTCCAATGCTGCTAGCATCTGACATTTATTACAAGTACCATTATCGCTCAAGGGCAAGATGGAGAAATATACATATAGTCCTATGAAAAGGTTATGATGCTGATGGTGGGGGGGGGGGGGGACAGATACTCTCGGACATATAATTGTTATAATAAAAATGGGTGGCGAATTATACTTGGGTGGCTGTTAATATACCTAAGTGGCACGCCCAAGTAAAGTCAATGTGTGGGAAACACTGCATCACTTATGATCAGGTCACATTTGTCTCTGGTGTTGCTGTAGTCACATTCCCAGCAGATGAAACTTTCAGCTTTTCTCCCTCCCAGATCCCATCCTGCCCAGTACAAACAGGCAGGGCTGGGGAATGGCCTGTGGGCTCCGCAGGGGCCCCATGGAGCAGAGCCGCCGCTGAGATACTTATTGCTTCACTGGGATTCTCACTAGATCCAATCACACTGTCAAGTTTGGATTGGAGGCCTGTCTCCCTAGGTAGTGGATACACAGAGCAGCCACACCCAGAGTTCTGAACATCACTCAGATACACAGAAATGGAGACAGAGACGTACAGTAAAAATTGTGCACTGACACACTCACACCCTCCTCCACCAGCATCACATGCACTTTGTCTCGATCCAGCTCAGCCTCTCCTCTCTGCAGCCCAGTCTCATCTGGGGAAACTAACCTGCTTGAATTTTTCAAATTTTGTTCCACTTCAATAATAATCCATTAAAAGTTACAATAAT